GCTTTTTGGCACAATAATTAGATAAGCGAGGTGAATAGATGGGGCTTATTTTGCAAATTTCAAATTTTGAAAAACTTCATTATTAGATTCAGCCCCATATGTTTTCTCTTTCATTTTAACCCATTTTCTTTTTTATTAATCCTAACTATGCCACATCATCTTCTCTAAATTAAAAAAAAAAATTGAAAAACATTTTCAAGGGCATTTTCTTAAATCGAAACTTGGGATGGCCTCCAGCTAAATTTTCTCCAAATTTTGTATGACTTGTAAAGATTGAGTGATAGGATTTGTCATTCTGTGAGGGTCATAGTTCTCTCAAGGTTTAGAGATTTGTGGGGATATCTTTAGGATTAGAAGATAAGGTTGGTTTGGTTTAAGGGTGTTCAGATGTGTGTGATCTGAGTGTGTATGTGAACTGTTTTCAATTAAAGATTAGGGCAGTGAGCTCTCCATTTCTGGAGCCAACATGAGTAACCTATTGAAACAAGATAAGTGAACGACGGTAAAATTTCTGGTGTTGATTTGATCTTGATTGGTGTTTGGTGATTGAAAGTTAGGTTTTAGTTACAAAAATATTTTCCAAAATTTCTTCGACAAAGAGCAAAGCCAGCCTCTGAGTCATGGTTGACGCAGTGGTCTTATGTGTTGGAAAAGGTTGGGAACTATCTCATCCAAGAAGCAGGTTTTTTACGAGAAGGAGAAATGAAGTGGAGTCGCTCAAGAACGAGTGGAATGGATGCATGTTTCATAAAAGATGCAGAAAGAGAAAACAGTTGAGAATGCTATAATACGCAAGTGGGTATCTGATATCAGAGACTTTGTTATGAGCTGAGAATGTCTTGGATATATATGCTCAAAATCCATGAGAAACGCCTCGAATACACTCAAATTCACGAAGAAAAAGAAGCGGGTCGGATACAACGAGTATCCTTAGGCAATGCAGGGGAGACTTCAAATACAACAAACACTTTCCAAGTCAACGAAGGAGGGACTTCAAAAAAAAGGTCGGATTGCTTTGCTTCCATCAAAATTGTTCTCGCATATTCAATAAAAATTCGAGTCAGAATGAATCTGGCCTCAAATTAGAATCAGCGGCCACAAATGGAATCCTTAACAAAGAGTCTGTTCATAAAAAGTCCCGCCAGTCAAAGTTCAGGCTCTATAGCAAAGGCAAGGAAAAGATGAATTTGCATTAACATAGGAAGGAGATTGAAGCACTCAGAAAAGAATCGATGATCTCTCTCGGAAACGTGAGCTGTACTGTCTTCAAGATATTAGTCAGATGCAGCAGGGAGGAAAGAGCAGCGGTTATGGCAATTGAAAGAATTAAGAAGAGCCCTTCCTTCGTAGTTGAAGAGAATGTTGTTGGTTGAGGATGATGCTAAAACTTTGTTGGCTAACTTCTGGAGAAGGAGCCACGACGCTTCGTAATCTATCTTTGGAATGGGTGGTCTAAGAAAAACAACCTCGCCAAAAAACTTACCATAACATTGATATCGGGAACAAATTTGATCGTTGTGCCTGGGTTTCTGTCTCTCAAGTACAAGACTCGGGACTTTCTTATAAGAATCATAGTCTTTCAAGTTGTAAAGATGACAGAGGAGATTGAGACGTTGAATGAAGAAAATTAGAGCGATATCTCCATAAATCCTTGGAGGGATATTCATCTAGTGGTGATTGATGATGGTGTGGCACAAAGAAGCTGGGAGACTTTGAGGAGAGTTTTCCGACAACAAAAATGGAAGCGTGTGTAATCATCACACTCGCATTAGAGAGTTGCTGAGCGTTCGGATGAGAAAATCCATGTCTATGAGCTTCGATTTTTAAGGCCAGATGAGAGTTGGATGCTTTCTGTGATAAAGCTTTCGAAGCTTAATAATGACGATGTTGGAGGAGAATTTGGGAAAAGAAATGGTCGGAAAAGCGGCGGCCTGCCACTTGCTATTGTCGTGTTAGGTGGACTTTGTCTGCAAAGAAGCCTCAAGAATGGCGTATGGGGGGTGATCACATTTGGGACTTTTAAGGAATGATTCCATCCACATATCGTATTTGTTAGCTTTAAGCTTCAGATTTGTTTTATCAATGAAGTTATGCTTTCTCTACCTTGGCCTTTTCCCAGAGGACTCTAAAATTTGCACAGAAAAACTTACTAGCTGTGGGTAGCAGGGGATTCATCGAGGAAAATGAAAATCAATTATAGAAGATGTTGCCATAGATAACTTGAATGAGTTAATCACGAAAGCCTCATTTCAAATAGAGAAAAGATGTTGGGGGAGGATCATAACATGCAAGTCCATGATCTACTGGAGATCTTGCATCGCAAGGCGAAACAGCTGAACTTCTTTAATATTTGCGACGCACACAAATATTCGAGCGTTCTTCATCACTGTAACAAGTCGAAGATAAGCAATATATTCTGGAGCGAAAGCTGGTTTTTGCGTCAAGGTATAATCCACTCCACATTCTCTTTGTTTTTTCAACCAGTGGAGAATAAGTCCTTAAGAATGTCAGAACACATAGCATCCACGTGCTCAACATTTAGGCTTCTCAGAATTGGATATCGAGGGCTCCCAGAGCAACGATACAGTACCAAAAGCAGGGGATTCCCGAAAGAAATCGAAGAGCTGACTCAATTGAGATATTTGGCTAACCAAGGTATATATATATATATGTTCCCACATCCATTGTCAAGTTGAAGAGGTTACAAACTCTGCGTTTACATGGCTTTGCATGGTTTTGTATGGCTTACAACTGAAATTGGTAACCTGCAAGGGTGAGGCATTTAATTGGAAACTTCAGAGGGACTTTGCCCATAGATAATTTGACAAACCTTTCAAACTCTGAGGATATGATATGGAAGCTGGACAGATTACAGTTAAATTGATAATCTTCGAGAGCTACGAATTATATCAGTCAAGCCAAATGAGGAGCTATCAGTTTAGACTCTGTCACACACTCCAAAGCCTGCGGATTTTATCAGTTTGGCTGAAGCCTAACCAGTCCTTCACTTCACTGAAACCCCTCGGTCATTGTATGTCTTGCACATCTGCGATTAACTGGGAAGCTAAAGAAACTTCCAATTGAATGCATAAACTTAACCAAAATTGAATGCTTAAGTTGTCAGGTTCATTCTGAGGATGACCAATGGCCTCCCTGAAGAAGTTGCAAATCTCACGATTGTCTTGAGCTTCAATTCTTATCAGGCAGGAAACTGATGTGCTCGCGAAGGTTTTTCCGCGGCTTGAAATTATGCAATTGATTTGGAGGAATTAGAGGAGTGGCAAGTAGATGAAGATGCTAGCCTATGCTCAGGGATTGAAAATGAGGGAGAACTCCAAGTTGAAAATTCCGGAAAGACTAAGATCAATTCTCTTCCAGGAGAATGGGAATGCGAAGATGAGAAATACCTATTAATAACTCGAGTACATCCAAGTTTGATTTTCTCATATGCTGTTTGTGCACTTTCTTTTCAATTTCTCCTTCAGTATTCAGTTGGGTTCTTGGTTGTAATAAATTGCTAGAAAGAAAGCATGAGCATTGAATTGATTACAGTTTACTTTTATCAGCCTAAGATTTCATTAAACCTATGTTATTACCTCAGGAAAATATCTGAGTTTGTTGAAATTCAATGGAATTTTCATTTAGTTAGATTCGTAGCGGTTCCATTATGTCCGAAGATGGCATTTTCAGTAGAGTTCACTCGTTTGGTCAGTACTTCATCATACAATTCACACACAAGAAGCAGAGTGCCTGGAAACAGTTTTAACTTCATACAGCAAAAATCTTCTTCTCCAAACCTCATTTTTCCGGTAATGATTTGTTCTACTCTGCTCTGGAAGAAGATCTCCACTCTCATTGGGCACGGCGCACGAGAGCAGATCCGCCTCTTTCAGTAGGCGGGATGGAATTCCATCTAGCCTAAACAACCCAGGATTTAATATTTAGTAATACTACACATACATCATTTTATACAACATTTTCATACACTTATGGGCAAGATATGATGTTTAATTTAATAAAATTAAACTTTCACCAATCACATCTTGCCACGTAATGTTGTATGAGAAATGTTGTATGGGATGATGTATGTGTAGTATTATCTTTAATATTAGTGGGGCCAAGTTTAAAATAAAATTTATAAAGACCATATAAAAAATATTTGATTGATAAAATATATCTTCTTAAACAAACAAAACCTTTTTTGTTTAATAAATAATAGAGAATGTTGGTTTATTTTTAGATTGGTGGGTCAATTTGAAAAGTAAATTTTAACAAACTTGAAAAAATAAGACAAGTAATAAAACAATTAATCAAAAAAAAAAAAAAAATGAGGGTGGTATGGCCCCAGCACCTCTCATGGGTAGGTCCATGGCCCAGACTAGTTCTAGCCTATCTAAAGAGTTACATTACTCACCGAACATATGAAAATTAAAAAGTAGTTTATTTATAGTCCTGGCACAGATAACAAACTCAATCTAAACTATTAAGATTTTAAGAAGAGAACGATAGTTTTTGGTGTTAGAAGTTAGTTTTATAGTTAGGATTAATTGGAATTGATTTAGCAGGTGCGTAACTCCTAATCATTCGATTATCGATGATTGCAGGGTTGACAGGAATAAGATTTAGAGATTTTAGTGAGTGATAATAGGAAAAGAGATGTTAATAGAGTGGGATTGAACGATCGAAAACGGAATAAATTTAATAATAAATAGTATTTTAAAAGTTTTTGGTGGCAAAGTGTATTAAGCCATATGTGGGAGCGCTGGGTGGTCTTTCCTCTATAGTGAATACAAAATGTTTTAATCAGTGAAAGTTTCCAGCTGGTTTCTCACAACTCTATATGAATACAAATGTTTAATCAGTGAAAGTTTTCCAGCTGGTTTCTCAGAGGGTGTGCGAAATGATGCTAGGAAAGCATTGAATTTTTCCGTTGACTATTGACAAGAAACAGTAACATAGAAAACAAAGCTTCAACTCACACTACATTCATTCACAAACTTTCTTCCAAACTATCTTGAACAAAGAACAGAGCCAGAGCCTCTGAGCCATGGTTGATGCAGTGGTCTCATACGTGTTGAAAAAGGTCGGGGACTATCTCATCCAAGAAGCAGTGTTTCTAAAAGAAGTGAGAAATGAAGTTGAGTCGCTGAAGAATGAGCTTGAATGGATGCAATGTTTCATAAAAGATGCAGAAGAAAAACAAATTGACGATGCTGTAATTCGCAAGTGGGTATCCGACATGAGAGACATCGCTTATGATACCGAAGATGTTCTGGATAAATTCATAATCAAAATCCATGGTGAAAACTCCTCAAACCTGCTCAAATTCGATGAAAAGGAAGAAGAAAAAGAAGTGGGTTCGGATTCAACGAAAACCCTTCAAGTCAATGCAGGGGAGACTTCAAATACTGCAAACCCTTTCCCAGTCAATGAAGGGAGGACTTCGAAAAACAGGTCAGGATTCTTTGCTTCCATTAAAATTTGTTCTTGCATATTCAATAAAAATTCGAGTAACCAACTAGAACCGGGCCGCCACAAATTGGAATCCAATGACAAAGAGTCTGTTCATAAAGAGTCCGGCCACCAGAAATTGGTATTAAATGACAAAGATTCTGTTCATAAAGAGTCCAGCCATACACAGTCCAGTCTCTATAACAAAGGCAAGGAAAAGGTGAATTTGTATAGCATAGGGAAGGAGATTGAAGCACTTAGAAAAAGAATTAGTGATCTCTCTAAGAAACGTGACTTGTACCGCCTTGAGGGTGTTGGTAACAAGCAAGAAGGAAAGAGCAATGCTTTTAACATATTGAAAGAACTGAGAAGAGCGCCCTCCTTTGTAGTGGAAGAGAATGTTGTTGGATTTGAGGATGATGCTGAGAAACTCTTGGCAAAACTTCTGGATGAGAAGGAGCCGCGGCGGTTTGTGATTTCTATCTTTGGTATGGGTGGTTTGGGAAAAACTACTCTAGCTAAAAAGCTTTATCATAGCAATGAAGTTAGGAATAAGTTCGACTGTTGTGCTTGGGTTTCTGTGTCTCAAGATTACAGGACTCAAGATCTTCTTCGAAGAATTATCGAGTCTTTTAAGATTGTAAATACAATGGAGGAGATAGAGAAGCTGAGTGAAGAAAATTTGGAGCGATTTCTTCATAAGTCTTTGGAAGGACACTCGTACTTGGTGGTGATAGATGATGTGTGGCAGAAAGAAGCTTGGGAGAGTTTGAGGCGAGCATTTCCAGACAACAAGAATGGAAGTAGAGTGATCATCACTACCCGAATTAGAGAAGTTGCTGAGCGTTCTGATGACAAAACTCATGCTCACGAGCTTCGATTTCTAAGGTCAGACGAGAGTTGGCAGCTATTTTGTGATAAAGCCTTTAGGAACTTGAATTTGGATGAAGGATTGGAGAAATTAGGAAGAGAGATGGTAGAAAAATGCGGTGGCCTACCACTCGCCATTATTGTATTGGGTGGTCTTTTATCAGCAAAGAACCCACAAGAGTGGCGAGTGGTTCATGATCACATTTGGCACCATTTGAGGAGTGAATCAATTCATATCTCTTATTTATTAGCACTAAGCTTCAATGATTTGTCTTATCAATTGAAGCTATGCTTTCTCTACTTGGGTCTGTTTCCGGAGGACTTTGAGATCAACGTAGAAGAATTAATCAGATTACTGGTGGCAGAAGGTTTTATATTGCAGGACGAGGACCAAGTTACGGAAGATGTAGCCAAGAGCAACTTGGATCAGTTGATTGATAGAAGCTTGATTCAAACGGAACAGAGATACAGGGGGAGAATTATAACATGTCGAGTCCATGATCTTTTGAGAGATTTAGCAATTCAGAAGGCCAAAGAGCTGAACTTCATTCACATTTATGATGAAATCACTCATTCAAATCGCTCCTCGATTGTATCATCTTGTCGACGCCAAGCTGTATATTTCGATAGTGGCAAATGTTCCTGGCTTCAACACTGCAATACAATCTCACGTTCCCTTTTGTTATTCAAACCAGAGTATGACTTGCTCAAGAAACTTGTAACAACAATCTGTACAAGTTTCAGGCTGCTAAGAGTGCTCCATGTTGAAGGTTACAGAGGATCATCTCCCTGCCAAAGCGTGCCGAAAGAGATTGGACAGTTGATTCATTTAAAGCATCTGGGGTTAAGAAATGTTGGCATATATAATCTGCCAGCATCCCTTTTCCATTTGCGGAATCTGCAAACTCTTGATCTGTACAGTGCTAAATGGGATCTTGGGCTATCGAGTGAAGTTCAGAACTTGCAGGAGTTGAGACATTTGATTGGAAATTTTATAGGGCCTTTGCGGATAGACAATCTAGTAAACCTTCAGACGCTGAAGTATGTAAAGTATGAATGCTGGATCAAAATTAATCCTGAAAAGTTGGTCAATCTTCGAGAGCTACACATCGATTGTTACATGACAGTTCAACAAAAGATGTTCGTTTTTGACTCCATTGCCAAACTAAAAAGCATCCAAATTTTGTGTGTCAAGCTGATTGGCGGCTACTCTTTTGATTCTCTGCAACCACTCGTTCATTGTCCTTGTCTCCAGGATTTGAGATTAGATGGGAAGATTGAGAAATTACCAGGAGATATGCACGAACTCCTGCCGAATCTTGCATACTTATCGCTGAATAATTCGTATCTCAACGATGATCCAATGCCTATATTAGAGAAGCTGCCTAGCCTCATGGTTCTTGAATTGTTCTCCAATGTTTATTCCGGAAATAAAATGACATGCACGGCAAAGGGTTTTCCTCGGCTTGAAAGTTTGGAACTTCTTGTTGAATTGGAAGAGTGGGAGGTAGAAGAAGGAGCCATGCCAATGCTTAGACGATTGATGATGCCTGAGGTCTCCAACTCAAAGTTGAGAATTGTAGAAAGATTGAGATCAATCCTTGTTCTAGGATGAAAAACTGGTACATATTACTCTTTATAAATAACTCAAATTACTTGTGTTTTTCTTTCAGTAATGTTACCGATTATTTCCATGCTTAGAGGCTTATGAATCAGGAGATTGCTCAGATAATTTCAGAATTCCGGTAAGCCTCAGACCAGTTCCTCTCCCGGGAGAATACAAATGCATAGCCAGGCTGTAAATTTACTTTGCTCGAGGTACTCTGAACGTTGAAGTCTGATCTCGTTCGTTCATTGCCCTGCAGGCTCTGTTGCCTTTCAATCTCTCCAATTTTTTTTTTTTTTTTTTTTTAATAGCGTGACTGTGAAGTTAAGGATGAAGACAATACCTTGGGCCCAAGACGGGCGACGCCTGGGTGGAGGTTGAATAGTCAGCCCAAGAGTGGAAAAAAGCCCAAGTTTTTTGAACTTGGGCCTGGACCTAGCCCAAGTGATGTAAGAAATTCTAAAAATGTAAGAATAAATGTAAATCATAATTAATGTATATTTGAGGTCGTTATAACTTAAATAAAACAAAAGGTAGGGTTACTAAAAGTTTCGGGTAAATCAATTTTTAAAGTGATTAAATTTTAAATTAATTATTAATTAATCAATCTTGATCATTATACATGTGATAATAATTTGAAAATCAAATTTATCAGACAAATACTTAAAACTTGTTTTCCAAAACACCAAAATGCCAAAATATCCATACAAACGTTTCTGTGATAAAGCTTTCGAAGCTTAAAACTGACGAAGGTTTGGAGAATTTGGGAAAAGAATGGTCGGAAAATGCGGCGGCCCCTGCCACTTGCTATTGTCGTGTTAGGTGGACTTTTGTCTGCAAAGAAGCCTCGAATGGCGTATGGGGTGATCACATTTGCGACTTTTAAGGAATGATTCCATCCACATATCGTATTTGTTAGCTTTAAGCTTCAATGATTTGTCTTATCAATTGAAGTTATGCTTTCTCTAACCTTGGCCTTTTCCCAGAGACTTTAAATTTGCACAGAAAAACTTACTCAGCTGTGGGTAGCAGAGGGATTCATCGAGGGAAAATGAAAATCAATTAATAGAAGATGTGCCATAGATAACTGAATGAGTTAATCAACAGAAGCTTCATTCAAATAGAGAAAGATGTTTGGGGAGGATCATAACATGCCAGTCCATGATCTACTGAGAGATCTTGCAATCGCAAGGCGAAACAGCTGAACTTCTTTAACATTTGCGACCCACACAACATTCGAGCCGTTTCTCCATCATGTAACAAGTCGAAGACAAGCATAATTCTGGAGCGAAAGCTGGTTTTTGGCGTCAACTGTTAATCCACTCTCACATTCTCTTTTGTTTTTTCAACAAGTGGAGAATAAGTCCTTAAGAAGTCAGAACACATAGCATCCACGTGCTCAACATTTAGGCTTCCTAGAATTCTGGATATCGAGGGCTCCCAGAGCAACGATACAGTACCAAAAACAGGGGATTCCCGAAAGAAATCGAAGACTGACTCAATTGAGATATTTGCTTAACCAATGGATAATATATATATATGTTCCACCATCCATTGTCAAGTTGAAAGGTTACAAACTCTGCGTTTACATGGCTTTGCATGGTTTTTTGATGGCTTACCAACTGAATTGGTAACCTCAAGGGTTGAGGCATTTAATTGGAAACTTCAGAGGGACTTTGCCCATGATAATTTGACAACCCTTAAAACTCTGAAGAATATAGATTATGGAAGCTGGACTAAGATTAATCCAGTTAAATTGATTATCTTCGAGAGCTACGAATTATATTCGTCAAGCCAAATAGGAGGCTATCAGTTTAGACTCTGTCACCACACTCCAAAGCCTGCGGATTTTCAGTTTGGCTGAAGCCTAACCAGTCCTTCACTTCACTGAAACCCCTCGGTCATTGTCCATGTCTTGCACATCTGCGATTAACTGGGAAGCATAGAAACTTCCAATTGACATGCATAAACTCTACCAAATCTTGAATGCTTAAGTTATCAGGTTCACTTCTGAAGGATGATCCAATGGCCTCCCTGAAGAAGTTGCCAAATCTCACAGTTTGTCTTGAGCTTCAATTCTTATCAGGCAGGAAACTGATGTGCTCAGCGAAGGGTTTTCCCGCGGCTTGAAATTATGCAATTTGATTTGGAGGAATTAGAGGAGTGGCAAGTAGATGAAGATGCTATGCCTATGCTCAGGGGATGAAGTGGGAGAACTCCAAGTTGAAAATTCCGGAAAGACTAGATCAATCCCCTTCCAGGAGATGGGGAATGCGAAGATGGAAGAATACCTATTAATAACTCGAGCTACATCCAAGTTTGATTTTCTCCATTGCTGTTTGTGCACTTTCTTTTCAATTTCTCCTTGTATTCAGTTGGGTTCTTGTTTGTAATAAGATTGCAGAAAAAAGCATGAAAGCATTGAATGATACGTTTACTTTATATCAGCCTAAGATTTCATTAAACCTATGTTATATACCTCAGGAAAATCTGAGTTTGTTGGAAATTCAATGGAATTTTCATTTAGTTAGATTCGTAGCGGTTTCCATTATGTCCGAAGATGGCATTTTCAGTAGAGTTCACTCGTTTTGGTCAGTATTTCATCATACTTCCCACACAAGAACAGAGTGCCTGGAAACAGTTTTATCTTCATACAGCAAAAATCCTTCTCTTCAAACCTCATTTTCCGGTATGATTTGTTCTACTCTCCTGGAAAAGACTCCATCTCTCATTGGTCACGGCGCACGAGAGCAGATCCGGCCTTTCAGTAGGCTGGGATGGATTCCATCTAGCCTAAACCAGCCCAGGATTTAATATTAGTGGGGGCAAGTTTAAAAATCCTACAATTTATAAAAAATAATGTTAGAGAGGCATGATATTTCTATTTATCTTTTTAGTTTACTCTTAGTTGATTTAATTTAAAAGACAATATAAAAATATTTGATTGATAAAATATTTATCTTCTTAAACACACAAAACTTTTTGTTTAATAAATAATAGAGAAATGTTGGTTTTTATTTTTAGATTGGTAGGGTCAATTTGCAAAGTAAATTTTATCAAACTTGAAATAAATGACAAGTATATATAAACTAATCAAAAAAAAATTGAGTGTGGTCCATGCCCCCACTCGTCTCTATACTTGGTCCATGGCCCAGACTAGTTTCTAGCCTATAAAAGAGTTACATTACTTCATCGAACATTAATGAAAATTAAAAAGGTTCCTATTTATATTTTGGCAACAAACAGAGAACAAACTCAATCTAAACTATAAGATTTTAAAGAGAGGAACCGATAAGTTTTTGATATTGAAAGTTAGTTTTAGGTTAGGATTAATTGGAATTGATTAGCAGCTGCGTAAACCTAATCGTTCGATTATCACGATTACAGGTCGACAGGAGTAAGATTGAGAATTTTAGTGAGTGTATAGAAAAAGAGATGTAGTAGAGTGGGTTGTAACGATGTAAAATCGAAAACAATATTAATTTAATAATAAAATACAATTTTAAAAGTTTGTGGTGGAAAGTGCGTTTGCCATATGGGGGGGGCTGCGTGGGTGTTTTCCTCTATATGAATACAAATGTTTTAATCGTGAGAGTTTCCAGCTGGTTTCTCAGAAGTTGTTAGAAGATGGTAGAAAGCATGAATTTTTCCGTTGACTATTGACAAGAAACAGTAACATAGAAACACAAGCTTCAACTCACACTACATTCATCACAAACTTTCTTCCAAACTATCTTGAACAAAAACAGAGCCAGAGCCTCTGAGCCATGGTTATGCAGTGGTCTCATACGTGTTGAAAAAGGTCGGGGACTATCTCATCCAAGAAGCAGTGTGTCTAAAAGAGTGAGAAATGAAGTTGAGTCGCTGAAGAATGAGCTTGAATGGATGCAATGTTTCATAAAAGATGCAGAAGAAAAACAAATTGACGAGTCTGTAATTCGCAGTGGGTATCCGACATGAGAGACATCGCTTATGAACCGAAGATGTCTTGGATAAATTCATAATCAAAATCCATGGTGAAAACTCCTCAAACCTGCTCAATTCGATGAAAAGGAAGAAGAAAAAGGTGGGTTTGGTTCAACGAAAACCCTTCAAGTCAATGCAGGGGACTTCAAATACTGCACCCTTTCCCAGTCAATGAAGGGAGGACTTCGAAAAACAGGTCAGGATTCTTTGCTTCCATTAAATTTGTTCTTGCATATTCATAAAATTCGAGTACCAACTAGAACCGGGCCGCGACAAATTGGAATCCAATGACAAGAGTCTGTTCATAAAGAGTCCGGCCACCAGAAATGTATTAAATGACAAAGATTCTGTTCATAAAGAGTCCAGCCATACACAGTCCAGTCTCTATAGCAAAGGAAGGAAAAGGTGAATTTGTATAGCATAAGGAAGATTGAAGCACTTAGAAAAAATTAGTGATCTCTCTAAGAAACGTGACTTGTACCGCCTTGGGTGTTGGTAACAGCAAGAAGGAAAGAGCAATGCTTTTAACATATGAAAGAACTGAGAAGAGCGCCCTCCTTTGTAGTGGAAGAGATGTTGTTGATTTGAGGATGTTGCGAAAACCTTGGCAAAACTTCTGGATGAGAAGGAGCCGCGGCGGTTTGTGATTTCTATCTTTGGTATGGGTGGTTTGGGAAAACTACTCTAGCTAAAAAGCTTTATCATAGCAATGAAGTTAGGAATAAGTTCGACTGTTGTGCTTGGGTTTCTGTGTCTCAAGATTACAGGACTCAAGATCTTCTTCGAAGAATTATCGAGTCTTTAATTGTAAATACAATGGAGGGATAGAGAGCTGAGTGAAGAAAATTTGGGAGCGTTTCTCATCATCGCTTAAGCGATCTGAAATCGCTTAAGCGACCAAGAGTAAATTGAATCTATCGCTTAAGCGATCATGAGTAAAACAGATTAATCGCTTAAGTGATACAAATGATCGCTTAAGCGACAATACAAGCAATATTCCCAAAACAACGTACCCTTTCTTCGCCGGCCTCCTCCTCATCACCTGAATCCTCGGACAACTCCTTCTGGCCTGAATTCTCGCCTGACTCCTCATCTTCAGAACCGTTTGCCGATTCTTCCCTCTGTTCTTGTGCGGCCGGTGTCTCCTCTGCTTGTGGACCACCTTCATTGATCGGATAATCCACCAGAGCAGCCATTAAACTACTTGCGCCACCAGAATCTAGGATTCGAAGTGGCATTGGGTTTTCCTCGTCATTGTGAGTGTTAGCCATGGTTTTGGATTGAATTTGGTGTCAAAATTTGGTGTCATCAATCGAAAATCGTGACTTATCGCCGAAAATCGCGATTGTATTCCGTTTAGGGTTCAAGAAATTGAGTTTACGATTGAATATGGTGTGGAAATTTACGGGTTCGATCGGAAATCGCACTGTCTCCCTTTGGTTCAAGAAATCGCTTTTTGCCCAAATGAATTTAGATTAAGCGAGGTGAATAGATGGGGCTTATTTTGCAAATTTCAAATTTTAAAAACTTTCATTATTTATGATTCAGCCCATATATGTTTTAATCTTTTCATTTTAACCCATTTTACGTGTTTAATTAATCCTAACTATGCCACATCATCTTCTCTAAATTAAAAAAAAAAAATTGAAAAACATTTTCAAGGCCATTTTCTTAAATCGAAACTTGGGATGGCCTACCAGCTAAATTTTCTTCAAATTTGTGTGACTTGTAAAGATTGAGTGATAGGATTTTGTCATTCTGTGAGGGTCATAGTTCTCTCAAGGTTTAGAGATTTCTGTGGGTATATCTCTAGGATTAGAAGATATAGGTTGGTTTGGTTTAAGGGTTGTTCAGATTGTGTTGATCTGAGTGTGTATGTGAACTGTTTTCAATTAAAGATTAGTGCAGTGAGCTCTCCATTTCTGTAGCTCAACATGAATGTAACCTATTTGAAACAAGATAAGTGAACGACGGTAAAATTTCTGGTGTTGATTCTTGATTCTTGATTGTGTGTTTGTGTGATTGATAAGTTAGGTTTTAGTTACAAAAATATTTTTCCAAAATTTCTTCGACAAAGAGCAAAGCCAGCCTCTGAGTCATGGTTGACGCAGTGGTCTCTTATGTGTTGAGAAAGGTTGGGAACTATCTCATCCAAGAAGCAGTGTTTTTACGAGAAGTGAGAAATGAAGTGGAGTCGCTCAAGAACGAGCTGGAATGGATGCAATGTTTCATAAAAGATGCAGAAGAGAAACAAGTTGAGAATGCTATAATACGCAAGTGGGTATCTGATATCAGAGACTTTGCTTATGATGCTGAGAATGTCTTGGATAAATATATGCTCAAAATCCATGATGAAACGCCTTCGAATACACTCAAATTCCACGAAGAAAAAGAAGCGGTTTCGGATACAACGAGTATCCTTCAAGGCAATGCAGGGGAGACTTCAAATACAACAAACACTTTCCAAGTCAACGAAGGAGGGACTTCAAAAAACAGGTCAGGATGCTTTGCTTCCATCAAAATTTGTTCTCGCATATTCAATAAAAATTCGAGTCAGAATGAATCTGGCCTCAAATTAGAATCCAGCGGCCACAAATTGGAATCCATTAACAAAGAGTCTGTTCATAAAAAGTCCCGCCAGTCAAAGTTCAGTCTCTATAGCAAAGGCAAGGAAAAGATGAATTTGCATTACATAGGGAAGGAGATTGAAGCACTCAGAAAAATAATCGATGATCTCTCTCGGAAACGTGAGCTGTACTGTCTTCAAGATATTAGTCAGATGCAGCAGGGAGGAAAGAGCAGCGGTTATGGCAGATTGAAAGAATTAAGAAGAGCCCCTTCCTTCGTAGTTGAAGAGAATGTTGTTGGCTTTGAGGATGATGCTAAAACTTTGTTGGCTAAACTTCTGGAGAAGGAGCCACGACGCTTCGTAATCTCTATCTTTGGAATGGGTGGTCTAAGAAAAACAACTCTCGCCAAAAAACCTTACCATAACATTGATATCGGGAACAAATTTGACCGTTGTGCCTGGGTTTCTGTCTCTCAAGATTACAAGACTCGGGATCTTCTTATAAGAATCATAGTCTTTCAAGTTGTAAAGATGACAGAGGAGATTGAGACGTTGAATGAAGAAAACTTAGAGCGATATCTCCATAAATCCTTGGAGGGATATTCATATCTAGTGGTGATTGACGATGTGTGGCACAAAGAAGCTTGGGAGACTTTGAGGAGAGCTTTTCCAGACAACAAAAATGGAAGCCGTGTAATCATCACCACTCGCATTAGAGAAGTTGCTGAGCGTTCGGATGAGAAAATCCATGTCTATGAGCTTCGATTTTTAAGGCCAGATGAGAGTTGGATGCTTTTCTGTGATAAAGCTTTTCGAAGCTTAAATACTGACGAAGGTTTGGAGAATTTGGGAAAAGAAATGGTCGGAAAATGCGGCGGCCTGCCACTTGCTATTGTCGTGTTAGGTGGACTTTTGTCTGCAAAGAAGCCTCAAGAATGGCGTATGGTGGGTGATCACATTTGGCGACTTTTAAGGAATGATTCCATCCACATATCGTATTTGTTAGCTTTAAGCTTCAATGATTTGTCTTATCAATTGAAGTTATGCTTTCTCTACCTTGGCCTTTTCCCAGAGGACTTTAAAATTTGCACAGAAAAACTTACTCAGCTGTGGGTAGCAGAGGGATTCATCGAGGAAAATGAAAATCAATTAATAGAAGATGTTGCCATAGATAACTTGAATGAGTTAATCAACAGAAGCTTCATTCAAATAGAGAAAAGATGTTGGGGGAGGATCATAACATGCCAAGTCCATGATCTACTGAGAGATCTTGCAATCGCAAAGGCGAAACAGCTGAACTTCTTTAACATTTGCGACGCACACAAACATTCGAGCCGTTCTTCAATCACTGTAACAAGTCGAAGATAAGCAATATATTCTGGGAGCGAAAGCTGGTTTTTGCTTCAGCTGTATAATCCACTCTCACATTCTCTTTTGTTTTTTCAACAAGTGGAGAATAAGTCCTTAAGAATGTCAGAACACATAGCATCCACGTGCTCAACATTTAGGCTTCTCAGAATTCTGGATATCGAGGGCTCCCAGAGCAACGATACAGTACCAAAAAGCAGGGGATTCCCGAAAGAAATCGAAGAGCTGACTCAATTGAGATATTTGGGCTTAACCAATGGATATATATATATATATGTTCCCACCATCCATTGTCAAGTTGAAGAGGTTACAAACTCTGCGTTTACATGGCTTTGCATGGTTTTTTGATGGCTTACCAACTGAAATTGGTAACCTACAAGGGTTGAGGCATTTAATTGGAAACTTCAGAGGGACTTTGCCCATAGATAATTTGACAAACCTTCAAACTCTGAAGAATATAGATTATGGAAGCTGGACTAAGATTAATCCAGTTAAATTGATTAATCTTCGAGAGCTACGAATTATATCAGTCAAGCCAAATGAGGATGCTATCAGTTTAGACTCTGTCACCACACTCCAAAGCCTGCGGATTTTATCAGTTTGGCTGAAGCCTAACCAGTCCTTCACTTCACTGAAACCCCTCGGTCATTGTCCATGTCTTGCACATCTGCGATTAACTGGGAAGCTAAAGAAACTTCCAATTGACATGCATAAACTCTAACCAAATCTTGAATGCTTAAAGTTATCAGGTTCACTTCTGAAGGATGATCCAATGGCCTCCCTGAAGAAGTTGCCAAATCTCACGATTATTGTCTTGAGCTTCAATTCTTATACAGGCAGGAAACTGATGTGCTCAGCGAAGGGTTTTCCGCGGCTTGAAATTATGCAATTTGATTTGGAGGAATTAGAGGAGTGGCAAGTAGATGAAGATGCTATGCCTATGCTCAGGGGATTGAAAATGATGGAGAACTCCAAGTTGAAAATTCCGGAAAGACTAAGATCAATCCCTCTTCCAGGAGAATGGGAATGCGAAGATGGAAGAATACCTATTAATAACTCGAGCTACATCCAAGTTTGATTTTCTCCATTGCTGTTTGTGCACTTTCTTTTCAATTTCTCCTTTAGTATTCAGTTGGGTTCTTGTTTGTAATAAGATTGCTAGAAAGAAAGCATGAAAGCATTGAATTGATTACAGTTTACTTTTATCAGCCTAAGATTTCATTAAACCTATGTTATATACCTCAGGAAAATATCTGAGTTTGTTGGAAATTCAATGGAATTTTCATTTAGTTAGATTCGTAGCGGTTTCCATTATGTCCGAAGATGGCATTTTCAGTAGAGTTCACTCGTTTTGGTCAGTACTTCATCATACAATTCACACACAAGAAGCAGCGTGCTGCGAAACAGTTTTATCTTTATACAGCAAAAACCTTCTTCCAAACCTCATTTTTCCGGTAATGATTTGTTCTACTCTGCTCTGGAAGAAGATCTCCATCTCTCATTGGTCACGGCGCACGAGAGCAGATCCGCCTCTTTCAGTAGGCTGGGATGGAATTCCATCTAGCCTAAACAACCCGGATTTAATATTTAGTAATACTACACATACATCATTTTCATACAACATTTTCATACAACTTATGTGGCAAGTATGATGTTTAATTTAAAGTTAAAATTAAATTAATCACCAATCACATTGCCACGTAATGTTGTATGAGAAATGTTTATGGGAATGATGTTATGTAGTATTATTCTTTAATATTAGTGGGGCCAAGTTTTAAAATAATAATTATAAAGACAATATAAAAAATATTGATTGAAAAATATTTATCTTCTTAAACAAACAAAAACTTTTTTGTTAATAAATAATAGAGGAATGTTGGTTTTATTTTTTATATGGTAGGGTCAATTTGAAAAGTAAATTTTAACAAACTTGAAATAAATAAGACAAGTATATAAAACAATATCAAAAAAAAAAAAAAAATGAGGTGGTCACTGGCCCCAACTCGTCTCTACATGGGTAGGTCCATGGCCCAGACTAGTTCTAGCCTATCTAAAGAGTTACATTACTTCACCGAACATTAATGAAAATAAAAAGTAGTTCCTATTTATAGTCTGGCACCAGATAACAAACTCAATCTAAACTATAAGATTTTTAAAGAGAGAGACCGATAAGTTTTTTGGTGTTAGAAGTTAGATTTTAATAGTTAGGATTAATTGGAATTTGATAGCAGGTGCGTAACTCCAATCATTCGATTATCGATGATTGCAGGGTTGACAGGAATAAGATTTAAGAGATTTATGTGAGTGATAATAGGAAAAGAGATGTTAATAGAGTGGGATTGTAACGATCGAAAACGGAATATAAATTTAAATAATAAATAGTATTTTAAAAGTTTTTGGTGGCAAAGTGTATTAAGCCATATGTGGGAGCGCTGGGTGGTCTTTCTCTATAGTGAATACAAAATGTTTTAATCAGTGAAAGTTTCCAGCTGGTTTCTCACAACTCTATAATGAATACAAAAGTTTTAATCAGTGAAGTTTCCAGCTGGTTTCTCAAAGGTTGTGAGAAAGATGGTAGGAAAGCATTGAATTTTTCCGTTGACTATTGACAAGAAACAGTAACATAGAAAAACAAAGCTTCAACTCACACTACATTCATTCACAAACTTTCTTCCAAACTATCTTGAACAAAGAACAGAGCCAGAGCCTCTGAGCCATGGTTGATGCAGTGGTCTCATACGTGTTGAAAAAGGTCGGGGACTATCTCATCCAAGAGCAGGTTTTAAAAGAAGTGAGAAATAAGAAGTTGAGTCGCTGAAGAATGAGCTTGAATGGATGCAATGTTTCATAAAAGATGCAGAAGAAAAACAAATTGACGATGCTGTAATTCGCAAGTGGGTATCCGACATGAGAGACATCGCTTATGATACCGAAGATGTTCTGGATAAATTCATAATCAAAATCCATGGTGAAAACTCCTCAAACCTGCTCAAATTCGATGAAAAGGAAGAAGAAAAAGAAGTGGGTTCGGATTCAACGAATACCCTTCAAGTCAATGCAGGGGAGACTTCAATACTGCAAACCCTTTCCCAGTCAATGAAGGGAGGACTTCGAAAAACAGGTCAGGATTCTTTGCTCCATTAAAATTTGTTCTTGCATATTCAATAAAAATTCGAGTAACCAACTAGAACCGGGCCGCCACAATTGGAATCCAATGACAAAGAGTCTGTTCATAAAGAGTCCGGCCACCAGAAATTGGTATTAAATGACAAAGATTCTGTTCATAAAGAGTCACCAATACACAGTCCAGTCTCTATAACAAGGCAAGGAAAAGGTGAATGTTATAGCATAGGGAAGGAGATTGAAGCACTTAGAAAAAGAATTAGTGATCTCTCTAAGAAACGTGACTTGTACCGCCTTGAGGGTGTTGGTAACAAGCAAGAAGGAAAGAGCAATGCTTTTAACATATTGAAAGAACTGAGAAGAGCGCCTCCTTTAGTGGAAGAGAATGTTGTTGGATTGAGGATGATGCTGAGAAACTCTTGGCAAAACTTTGGATGAGAAGAGCCGCGGCGGTTTGTGATTTCTATCTTTGGTATGGGTGGTTTGGGAAAAAACTACTCTAGCTAAAAAGCTTTATCATAGCAATGAAGTTAGGAATAAGTTCGACTGTTGTGCTTGGGTTTCTGTGTCTCAAGATTACAGGACTCGAGATCTTCTTCGAAGAATTATCGAGTCTTTTAAGATTGTAAATACAATGGAGGAGATAGAGAAGCTGAGTGAAGAAAATTTGGAGCGATTCTTCATAAGTCTTTGGAAGGACACTCGTACTTGGTGGTGATAGATGATGTGTGGCAGAAAGAAGCTTGGGGAGTTTGAGGCGAGCATTTCCAGACAACAAGAATGGAAGTAGAGTGATCATCACTACCCGAATTAGAGAAGTTGCTGAGCGTTCTGATGACAAAAATCATGCTCAGAGCTTCGATTTCTAAGGTCAGACGAGAGTTGGCAGCTATTTTGCGAATAAGCCTTTCGGAACTTGAATTTGGATGAAGGATTGGAGAATAGGAAGGAGATGGTAGAAAAATGCGGTTGCCTACCACTCGCCATTTTGTATTGGGTGGTCTTTATCAGCAAGAACCCGCAAGAATGGCGAGTGGTTCATGATCACATTTGGCACATTTGAGGAGTGAATCAATTCATATCTCTATTTATTAGCTCTAAGCTTCAATGATTTGTCTTATCAATTGAAGCTATGCTTTCTCTACTTGGGTCTGTTTCGGAGGACTTTGAGATCAACGTAGAAGAATAATCAGATTACTGGTGGCAGAAGGTTTTAATTGCAGGACGAGGACCAGTTACGGAAGATGTAGCAAGAGCAATTGGATCAGTTGATTGATAGAAGCTTGATTCAAACGGAACAGAGATACAGGGGGAGAATTATAACATGTCGAGTCATGATCTTTTGAGAGATTTAGCAATTCAGAAGGCCAAAGAGCTGAACTTCATTCACATTTATGATGAATCACTCATTCAAATCGCTCCTCGATTGTATCATCTTGTCGACGCCAAGCTGTATATTTCGATAGTGGCAATGTTCCTGGTTTCAACATGCAATACAATCTCACGTTCCCTTTGTTATTCAAACCAGAGTATGACTGCTCAAGAAACTTTTAACAACAATCTGTACAAGTTTCAGGCTGCTAAGAGTGCTCCATGTGAAGGTTACAGAGGGCATCTCCCTGCCAAAGCGTGCCGAAAGAGATTGGACAGTTGATTCATTTAAAGCATCTGGGTTAAGAAATGTTGGCATATATAATCTGCCAGCATCCCTTTTCCATTTGCGGAATCTGCAAACTCTTGATCTGTACAGTGCTAAAGGGATCCGGGCTGTCGAGTGAAGTTCAGAACTTGCAGGAGTTAAGACATTTGATTGGAAATTTTATAGGGCCTTTGCGGATAGACAATCTAGCAAACCTTCAGACGCTGAAGTATGTAAAGTATGAATGCTGGATCAAAATAATCCTGAAAAGGTGGTCAATCTTCGAGAGCTACACATCGATTGTACATGACAGTTCAACAAAAGACGTTCGTTTTTGACTCCATTGCCAAACTAAAAAGCATCCAAATTTTGTGTGTCAAGCTGATTGGCGGCTACTCGTTTGATTCTCTGCAACCACTCGTTCATTGTCCTTGTCTCCAGGTTTGAGATTAGATGGGAAGATTGAGAAATAACAGGAGATATGCATGAACTCCTGCCGAATCTTGCATACTTATCGCTGAATAATTCGTATCTCAACGATGATCCAATGCCTATATGAGAAGCTGCCTAGCCTGATGGTTCTTGAATTGTTCTCCAATGTTTTCCGGAAATAAAATGACATGCACGGCAAAGGGTTTTCCTCGGCTTGAAAGTTTGGAACTTCTTGTTGAATTGGAAGAGTGGGAGGTAGAAGAAGGAGCCATGCCAATGCTTAGACGATTGATGATGCCTGAGGTCTCCAACTCAAAGTTGAGAATTGTAGAAAGATTGAGATCAATCCTTGTTCTAGGATGAAAAACTGGTACATACTACACTTTATAAATAACTCAAATTACATATGTTTTTCTTCAGTAATGTTCGGATTATTTCCATGCTTAGAGGCTTGAGATCAGGAGATGCTCAGATACTTTCAGAATTCCGGAAGCCTCAGACAGTTCCTCTCCCGGAGAATACAAAAGCATAGAGAGGCTGTAAATTTACTTTGCCCGAGGTACTCTGAACGTTGAAGTCTGATCTCGTTCGTTCATTGCCCTGCAGGCTCTGTTGCTCTAATCTCTCCATTTTTTTTTTTTTTTTTAAAATAGCGTGACTGTGAAGTTAAGGATGAAGACAATACCTTGGGCCCAAGACGGGCGACGCCTGGGTGGAGGTTGAATAGTCAGCCCAAGAGTGGAAAAAAGCCCAAGTTTTTTGAACTTGGGCCTGGACCTAGCCCAAGTGATGTAAGAAATTCTAAAAATGTAAGAATAAATGTAAATCGTAATTAATGTATATTTGAGGTCGTTATAACTTAAATAAAACAAAAGGTAGGGTTA